CCCCAAAACCCCAAAACCCCAAAACCCCGTCCTGCCTAATTCATTGATTGAATTGAGAATATGTAACTTGATATTTTAAATAAAAGAACAAAATAGAATGTATACTAAACGCTTAGATGTATTGCTTTATAAATTGTTTTATCTATTTATTCTGCTAGCTCATAACCCACTTTCATCACTAAATAAGTAATAAAAGAAAGACCCGATGGAAAAGCCAGCTGAAAAGGCATTTTTAATCTTAGTTTTAGAGTTGTCAGTGAAGTAGTAGTATAAGTCCTTGAATATGTTATATATCAAACCAAAGTTGTAGACTAGATTTGTCTAGAGCACATTTTTATCTGACAGGAAAGTGGTATACGACATGACTACCAACATTGCATCAAAGATACTATCATAGCATTTATCTGCAATTTGATCCCAGTGATAGGGCAGAATCAAGAATTTATCTATCGAATTAAACACACCAAAAACTGTAAAATTGGTTATTAATATGTTTAGACCGCTTCTTAAACCTTAGTCTTAAAACCTAATAGCAGATTCGCAATTTTAGGAACTCTAAGTTGATGTTAATGTGGTTCCATTTAAGAAACCAACTATTATATCGGCTATACCGTTCACAGAGATAACCTACTCTTTGAAGCCTAGAACCTGCATTTTCTATTTTACAAGTCTTTGAATATTGTCCAGCATTATTATTCTTTGAGTAGAATCATCTTCTTAAAATAGATATTTTGATTCGCCCAGTGATTCATAATATACACTAGTTCTGATCTCATCTAGATCGATAATATCATTTGATTGCATAAGCCTCAATGATGCACTTTCTGAAGGACTGAAATCTAGAATAAGAGAAATCATTCTAGCTAATTATTGATATACAATGATTACTGTTCCATTTTTCTGAGCTGCATCAATATTTGCATATGCTGTTTAAAGTTGAATTGCTTTACCTAGGAGATTGAATAGAAATCCAGTAAAAAAGTCCATGACATTTCCAAACTAAACTATTTTGTTATTTGTCCATTTTGCTACATTTCTGAAGCAGTCGTTACAAACCCAAGCTGCATTTGTAAGTTTTTAGATGAATGTGGTTATAGCAACAGCTTTATCAACAATTGTGACAGATGTGCTCATCTGAACTTTATATGCAGGCAAATCAATCATTGTTATGTTTGTATATCTATCAAAGCAACCAGTTGAATTCTAGAATTTTGCATCAGCCTGGAAACCATTTAGAAATGCATAGCCAAAGTCAACAACAAGCTGCTACTCAGGAGTTATTGCCATTAATTTAATACGGTCATGTATTTCACTTATCAGCATCTCAAAGTCAAAGTTTTCGTTGCTTAATTGAGAATTTTCTATGTCAAAAACTTTACTATATGGCGAATCCTTAGCTTAAGTTTTTGAAACAATGCTTAGCAATGATAGCAAGAGTAAAAGTTATAGAATTTGAGTTTGCTTTAAGTGCTTTAGTTAAGACTTTAGTTGGTGAAAAGCAACTTCCATTCTTCGAATACAATAACTATTAATAATTTAAATTTATATTGTGAGATTATATTTAGTTTAGTAAAAAGGAAAGCTAATTTTCACCTTATGGGGTTTTGGGGTTTTGGGGTTTTGGGG